CAAGGTGGCTGTCCTGGAGGGATGTTCCCTGAGCAGGGGTAGGACTCTCAAAAGGGAAGCCTGGCTCAGTGGAACACTGGAGAGTTCTGTCCCAGGAGACCTGCCTTGGGGCTATGGGAAAAGAGTTGCGGGTCTTGGAACACTCAGGTAGATACCCTGGAGTGTGGGGCCCTGGAACAGGGGCTAAAGGAACTGGACAGAGTGGTTAGTGACTCTCGGCTGGGTGACTGGGGAACGGTGACCTTTGCATGGGATTGAGGAGCTGCTGCGTTGTAACCTTGTTCAACTTTGGGGGTTTGAGAAGAACTGTTTTAGTATGAGGGATCTGTGGACTGTGACCCTTTTATTAATATAAAGGGTTTGAATTTGCTGCTGAGAGAGAATGTTCCTATGCACAAATGGAGTCCAAGGAGAAACTGAGGTAGGTGCAGCACTGTGCTGCAGAAGGGCTCCCTGAGTGGGGGCCGTCCTACTCCACATCCCTTTGTTAAACTGATTTCTCTTAATAGCGTCTTCAACTAGATCTTTGTTTAGCTTCTAGTCTCTCCTTGAAAGAGATTAGAGTTCCCAAGGAAATCCATGACAACATGCTGTATTGTAAAGTAATTTTTACAACATCAAAAACATAAAATGTTTAAGCTGTAAATTCCAACTGATTTTTCTCCTTTCCAGCAAAAAATGCTGCAAAAGAACAATCTCTTTGGAGAACGTACTGCAGCACAACTATGCACAGAACACACTTTTAGACACTGAGTAATGAGTGCTGTAAGGGCTCAAGTCCTGCTCATCTTGCTCATGTGATCAGCATTTGGCCCAAGACAGTGTTAGCCTATAATCGTACTGTGGTAACTGGAAAGGTCATCCCAGAACAAGTTAGCTGAACAGGAACTGTATGTAACATTAGATGCGCCAAACTGTGTTAGAGAAACATTAAAGTTGCACTGACTGTTAAAATAAGAAAAAAATATATATATAGAAATCCAAACATACTGTTCCTACAGCTATGCAACTTAGCCACATTGCACAGATCTGCTCTTTGATTTGTTCCTGTTGCTAAATCCAGCTCAGAAATTGCTCTGCTACCCCAAAACAATGACTGAAGTGTGGGTCTCTATATTCAGTGGGCCGCCGTGATTTCCATACCAAATCTGCACAGTTTGCAAGAAAATACGTTTTTTGTCTTGCTCCTCACCAACTCAGCTTAGCTATTGACAGTCAACTTGGGTTGTTCCCATTTCACACACCATCAATACTAATAACGGTTCTGCAGGCTGAATTATTCCCTCAGCTTCAACTATGCAACCCTGTTATCTTTAGATTATGTAATCAGTGATACCTCTGCAAGCCACCAGATAATTAAGAATCACGCTGTTTTTCTTCATAAGATGCCCTGCTCTCTCTACTACTGTTATTTAAAGGATTTCCTTGTCACAAATGCTAGTAGTCCCACAAACACATTGCTTTGGTAGTGAACTCTACAGTTTTCAAGCACATTGGGTTTGATTCTCCACTGCCTTGCCCCTTGTGTAGTCATTTACCCCCCAGGCAGAGTGAGTGGAAAACACCACTGTTCAGGTTTGGTACTGTTTTACTGCTAGTCTGCACTCACCTTTCCACAGGGGTAAATGACAGACAATGTAAGGTGTAAGGCAGTGGAGAATCAGGCCGGGTTTTCTTGAATGTATTAAATACTCTGATTAAGCACCAAGTCCTACAATGTTCATCAGATGCATAATCCTTATACAAGTAGTTCTACTGACTTGAATGGAATCACTAGCATTAATAAGGACTATTCAGGTAAGTGTTACAGGATTTGACCCCAGATATAATCACAAATAACCAATTCAATGGGCCAGATCTGTCTTGGGTGTAACTCCACTGAAGATAATGGAGTTACACCAAAGGATGAATGTGGCCCACTGTGTTTTGAAGGCTGTGAAATACAAAGTCTTGTTACTGAACATCAAAAAGAAAACGTTAGTGGATGTCTTACCGCAAAAGCACGACTGATGAGGGGAACATCATTAAAAGCGATAACTACTGGAACAATATCAAATGCAGTGTACTCCAGAACTGCTGTGTTAATAGAAAATTCATCTGCAGACGGCCCATTGCTGAAAAACACTGCTACTTTTCTCACATTAGGACCTTGGCGAGTTCGCTTGAAAACATTCCTGGCAACAAATCCCATTGCTCTCACAATATCCCGTTTGCTTGAGGATCTCTCATAAGCCAGATTATTAAGTTTTTTGAGGAGCTGATTCTTGCTGTAGAACTCGGAGAAGCGGATCAGATAATGAGTGTTGGAATTGTAGGACACAACAGCGACTCTAGCTCCCACTGGGCAGTTGCTGTCTCTAATTTTGGTGGCATTCACTACTGATATTACAATCTCTCTCATTCTTTCAAATAACTGGGATGTGACATCCTGGGATATGTCCAAAGCAAACACTAGTTCCGTTGGATATACTGGGCATTCCGGTTTTTCTAGACGATAAAAACAGTTGTTATACAAATCACACAGGATAAAAAATGCAAGCTAATTTAAAAAGTGATTAATAACTACTTAATTTTGCTTTCCCGAGATAGCAGGCAGCACAGTATCAGGCTATCTAGGGACTCACTCTACAGAAAATGATACAAGGGCAAGTCATGCTGGGGCATAGTTCAGGAATTCAATGAGACTTTTTCAGACACTGCACTGAGGAGTGTGTGTGCTGGACACAACTGCAGCCCCTGTACTCCTTCGAGTAGGGGGGAAGGGAGGCGAAGGCAGGGAGAAGCCAAAGTCATAGTCTTGCCCCCTTCCATGCCACATACAGGTCTGCGAAACTGGCTGGGTGCAGAGGGGGATTATGGAGCACTTCCCTTCCTGTCTGGAAGGTCTAGGAGCGATTGCGTTTCCTGAGGCACAATCACTCCTGGAGCTCTCTCTGTGGTAATGTGCTTCTGTACTGGCCCCAGCTCCATGCTCATCAGGCACAATGGGGCCTACCATGTCTATTGTACTTTACTTAAATGCAACACTAAGCTGTGGAAAAGCATGGGGTACTGAAATGTATTTAAACATAGAAATGTGTTTAGTGACTCCAAATGGTAGTAGAGGCACATGACATTAGGAAAGACAGCTGAAAATAAAGCTAGTGAATGGAAAGGAAATGGTAATCTAAGCTCATGGTACGGGCCATAAAGACGACCACGATGGTACCCAAAGGTTGTTATAAAAGAAAACTCTGAGAAAAAGAGGAACACCAAAATGACTAACAAACTAAGAGAACTGGTAGGTAATGTCCCGTGGGAAGAAAATTTAAGGGCTAAAGGTGTTTACATGAGCGGTGTGAAGCAGAAGTTTCTCAAAGAGACGGTATCGAAGGCGCAACAGCAAACTATCCTGATGCAAAGAAAAGATGGGGAGAATAATAAGAGGACAATATGGCTCCATGAGGAGCTCGTTAATAACCTGACAATCAAAAAGGAATCCTACAAAGAGTGGAAACATGGACAAATTACTAAGGATGAATACAAAAGAATAGCACAAGCACGTAGGGACAAAATCAGAAAGGCTCTGGCACAAAATGTACAAGGGACATAAAAGGCAATAACAAGCGATTCTAAAAATACATTAGGAGAAGAGAAAGATAAAGGAAAGTGTAGGTCCTTTAGTTAGCTGTGAAAAATAGCAGTAACTGGATGGCATCAAGAAGGCCTGTTTTGCTTCAGTCTTCTCTAAAAAGGTAAACTGTGACCAGATGCTTAACACAATTAATATTAACAACAAGGGAGAAGGAACACAAGCCAAAATATGATTTAAATAAAATTATTAAAAGGTGGGTACCCAACTAGTTGAATGATAACTAGTCTTTGAATAGAGTCTATGGTCCACTGTCAAAGTGGGGAGACTTATCTAGTGGGGTCATGCAGAGGTCTGACCTAGGTCCAGCACTATTCAACATTTTCATTAAATGACTTGGACAATGGAGTTATACTTATAAGTTATACTTATAAATTTTGCAGATTACACCAAGCTGGGAGGGGTTGCAAGCACTTTGGAGGACAGTATTAGAATTCAAAATGACCTTGAGAAATTGGAGAATTGGTCTGAAATCAACAAGATGAAATACAATAAAGACAAGTGCAAAGTCCTATGCTTAGAATAAATAAAATGCACAGTTACAAAATGGGAAATCACTGGCTCAGAGGTGGTACTACTGAAAAGGATATGGGGGTGATAGTGGATCACAAATTGAATGAGTCAACAATGTGATGCAGTTGCAAAAAAGGCTAATATTCTGGGATATATTAACAGGAGTGTCATATGTAAGACAACCAGCTATGTCTGTGTGTGTTGCAGCGAGCCACAACTTGGCTCTTACCAGCCTTAGTTATACTGCAGGGTGATCCCCAAACACCCCCAGTCCTAGACTTTTTTCCTGGAAATGTATGTCCTGTACTGCCCAGCCCCCTCCTGCATAATAGAAGTTTATGTATAGTCTATTATTGCTTTAATAGAAATAATATGCACTTAACTTGCCATCCCAAATGGCATTTAAAACATAGGATTAAATAAAACAAGTTTATTAACTACAAAGAGAGATTTTAAGTGAATACAAGAAATGAGGCATAAAAATCAGAAATAGTCACAAGAAAATGAAGTTCAAATGCTACTGCTGCCTCACTTAAACTATATCAAATTCAAAGTTTCTCATCATACGCTTTCAACAGTCTAACTGACCAAACTTAGTAGGTCAGGACCCCTTCTCCAGTCCCAGGAATGCTTTGAATTGGTAATAGTAATATTCCAGGAGATTAGCTCTATGGGGGCTTTACCAATATCAAAGACAAATGATGCAAAGGATTGAGGATGCTAATACACCAAGAAGCAAATCAGAAACATACAAGAAAAGGCCATGAGAATATAAGCTGAAAATATTCATACAATGGGAATCAGTGATGGGGTGGACCGTAAACTTAAAAGATTTGTGGAAATTAAACTAAAAGAAGAATATATCCTTTTTGGTTCAGTGCATGATCCTACCAACGTCAGTACATCGCAAAATGCAAATATATGCAGACTGTGAAGACAAAAAACTCATAAGTGTGAGTAGTTGTCAAGGCTGACACTCAATGTGAAGGAATTCTTAATTAAAGGAAGAATACTGGTTTCTCATTCCTGCTGTGGATGCAGCAATCACAACACACAACAATCACTCTGACGAGTTAAAGAGAAGCACTGATGGCCCCTTTCTGATCACATGTCCAATCCTCTTTATCCCATAGTGGAGGACTCAATGCAGGGCCTTGAAAATTGAGAGTATAAAAGTAGCACTCTGAGAAGGTCAATGAGAACTTCTGAGAGTGAGAGGAGAAGAAAACAATAGGGTAGGTTTTCCCAAGGGATCTCCCCTCAAAGCATATTTATTTGCAAAGTCGCCTCAGATGCTAGGTACTTCATCAGCTATTGAGGAGGCCGAATGACGTTTTAAGGCCAAATCATCCTGCAATTCCCACAAACGTGAGTAAACCTCAAAGAACTATAGAGGTAAAACCTTTCTTTTATCTCTGCACAAAAGTTACTCATGTGAGGGCTGCAGGCTAAGTGACATAATTCACAGTTTTAGTGGTTAAAAGGCAAGTAATCCAGAGAGATGCACCATAAGTATCTTTACAGTAATGGCCTAAACTTCAGAGGTGCTGATCATCCACATCTCCCACTGCATTGAATGGAAATGCAGATGTTCAGCACCTCTTAAAATCAGGTCACAAAGGAACTAGAATAACTCAGAAGGACACAGGGCCAGGAGCTAAGTGTTAGTTTCTTGTTTTTTTCTAGCTGTAGCTGAAAAGCAAGATAGGGATCAACTGAACTCTAGTTTACGTTGTCTTATCTAGTCACTGAACTCTGCAGATACAATATTAGGTAATGGGGAGTCACATAGCCAGAACTAGCTGACCTGAAGTTCTCAAAAAAAAAAAAAAGGTAAAAGCAGAGTGAATATTTATTTTAAAATCTGTATCAGTAGAGCATGCTCAGGGGCAAGCTATCAATGAGGAAATAAAGCAGAAAGGGACGGGTGCCTATTGGAAGAGAAGTCTGACAAATTAAGAAGTAGTGATATGATGGGCAGGGAATGAGGGGCATGCTCTCTTTACAGAATTGCAGAACTACAGTTGTTTTGCTTAGCTAGCCAGAGACAAAAAGTGGCTGATCTATCAGCAGGTGGGGAGCTTAAAGGAGTGAAACTCCAGATCACAAGTGAGGTCTTTACCTAAACCATCTTCCCAGACACATTGATATATTTTAAGATTTTAGTTACAACAATATAATAATAAACAGTACTCACCCTGCCAACAAGCTAAACAAAAAAAGGGAAAAAATATTATATAGCATGTTTTAAAAACAATCCTAAAATCTCTTTAAAAAAGAAAACATGTAATGTCATGGGAATAGGGACTTGGAGTGGCTGGCTCACTACAAAAGCAATTTTCCCTCTCTTGGTATTGACACCTCCTCCTCAATTATTGGGAGTGGACCACATCCACCCTGACTAAATTGACCTTCAACATCGGTTCTCCACTTGTAAGTTAACTTCCTTCTCTTCACGTGCTAATATATATTTATGCCTCTATCTGTAATTTTCACTCCACACATCTGAAGAAGTGGGTTTTTGACCCACAAAAGCTTATGTCCAAATAAATCTGTTAATCTTTAAGGTGCCACCAGACTCCCTTGTTGTTTTTGTAGTGTCATGGATTGCACACCTATAATTTTACAGCATTCCCTGTGCATGCAAAACACTCATTGGTTTCAATGGAAGTTGTTAAGTGAACAAGGAGTTCAGCTTCTGTCCCTTAATTTGCATTGCATGTTCTTATTGTGGATGTCTATGGTCCCTGGTTTCTAACAGAATTTAGAGAAATAGATATAACTCAGCAAATTATCCAGACTCCTGAATTTGTTTTGGCAAATTCCATGGTTCGAGACACTGGACTGAAACATTCTAATGTTTTCTCAAATAAATATTCTCTGCTTAGCCCAGCTCAGCTGAACTTTCACTGTGGATCAAGATTAGTCACATGAGTAAGGGTCCATAATCTGTATTTAAGATTGATTTACATAAAATAATGTAATTTACCTCCTGATCTTCCCTTAAGGACACTTGGGGCATCTTCATTATTCATATGGACACTAGCCCTTTCCAAGTGTCCCAAGCACCTAATTTCCATGAAGGCTATTTTATACACAACAAAGGGAACACGGATCCCTATAACAGCTATTGCCATTTAAAATAGTCTTATATTTCAAAAGAGGGTTTTTTGTTTGTTTTGTAATTTGTGAACTTTCAAAGGAAATCAGAGAAGCATGTTAGAAATGATCATGCAGAGTTACTGATTACTAGAATCAATAGACATTTACTGATTCACTTAGTGCATGGTACAAACACAGCTAAAAACAGCATCATAAAAAGGATCTACTGTGAGCTAAAAATACTCTCTCTGAAATGAAAGCTCTTTACTTGTCAAGCAGTAACTCTCTCTTTTGCATGTAAATGGCCTTTAAGTCTGTAAATTGAAAAAGAAGTGGTCGCTAGAACTTGATTTTCTTTCTCTAAAATATCACATCAAGTGCTGACCCTTTGGGTGATGCAATTTTATAAAGCAAAATGATGTACTTACGGCTGTGTCTGCGCACATATTCAATGACTTCACATGGCTGCAGAACAGAAACGAAGCAAGGAGAAAGAAAGGAATTCTTAGCTGATGAAGTGGTTTATTTCTAAATGTATACTGAATATAGAAACAC